CCCCCCCCCCCCCATTTCTTCAATCACGTCATGCACGCAGCAAGGGAAATCCCCCTCCCTATCCCTATGCTCCCCCATTATAAATTTGTTTCCTCTGCGCTTGGAAAGTGATGTCAAAAGTGTAGATCGTAAGGAAATTGTGACACTGACCTAAAAATGTTAATTTTGCACAATTATTGATATTGGGAGTCTACCTCGTGACTGGACTAATGCAAACATAGCACCAATCTTCAAAAAAGGTGATCGTCACCTACCTGAAAACTATCGCCCAGTATCTCTGACATCTGTACTTAGTAAACTGTTAGAACATATTGTATGTCACCATATGTTGCAATACTCTGAACAAAACAATATTCTGACTTCCCTAAACCACGGCTTTCGGCCAAGGTATTCGTGTGAAACTCAGCTAGCAGTGACATTAGATGACCTCACATCTAGCTTTGATCTAGAAATACAAACAGACATCGCGATACTAGATTTTTCTAAGGCGTTCGACACGGTACCTCATAACAAACTGCTTCATAAGTTACATGCCTATGGGATACGAGGCAAAATACACCAGTGGATTGCATCTTTCTTGTGTAATCGTCAAATGAAGGTAGTTGTTGAAGGCGAGAGTTCAAGAGAAGTGAATGTCGTGTCTGGAGTACCACAAGGGACAGTACTAGGCCCTCTTCTCTTCCTTTGCCACATAAATGATCTACCGGACTCTGTAAAATCCAAAGTACGCCTTTTCGCTGATGATTGCTTATTGTACAGGGAAATATCTTCGCAAAAAGACCATATTATTCTTCAACAAGACCTCGCAAGCTTAGAAAACTGGGCCATGAAATGGGGCATGCGCTTCAACGCTTCCAAATGTTACTCTCTTAGTGTTTGCCAGAAATCCTCTTTCTTCTACCAACTGGATAATACAGTGCTTAAAAATGTTCAGACCAACCCATATCTAGGAGTCATGCTTTCTTCCGACCTTAAATGGTCAACTCACATAAACAACTTATGTAAAAAAGCCAGTTGCCTACTAGGATTCATTAGAAGAAATTTATACCATAGTCCAGTTATCACAAAGAAATCTGCCTACATAGCTCTTGTCCGTTCCACTCTAGAATATGGTGCTATCATATGGGATCCTTATTTAAAAACTGATATTGATAAAATGGAAAAAATTCAAAGAAAAGCTGCACGGTTCATCACTGGGGATTACAAGTCTCAATCCCCAGGTAGTGTCACCTCCATGCTGAAATCACTAGAGATACCACTACTGCAGCACAGGAGGAAGGAACTGTGGCTAACTTTTCTATTCAAGGTGGTTGAGGGTTAGTTCCAGCGATACCCCCCGACACTTACTTCGTACCAGTCTCTAACAAACGTCGTATAAGGGCTAAATCTTTCAATGACTTTGACTCCGAAAACATTGTGAATAGTACTAATAACAGTCGCTGCTTTCACTTACAACGTTGTAAAACACTCGTCAGAAAAAATACTCTTTCTTCGTCAGAACAGTTACCGATTGGAATGGTCTCAGTGACCAACAAGTAAACGCTGAAACTGTTGAAAGCTTTAGATCAGGACTACTATTTGACTAAGTTTCCCATGCGCTCTCTTCTATCCGTCTACTTCATACCAGTATTGGTGTCTCTAGACGTACATGAACAGATACAGATACAGAACTACTGATCTAATGAATTTGACAAGACACCGGTTGTAGTAACGCACTGCTTACGTTCCACAAGAACAATTTTTTACTAAACTGCTCAACGCATACCATACCTGAGCTACTTATACACCTTGTCTGTACAGGAACAGTAAATCCATTAATCTTTACGGGTCGAGAACGTTTGATGAAATCGACAAGCAACTTTGCACGACCCGCCATGTCTTTTAACACGTGCTGCGCATTGTTTATTGCGCATGTAGTTTACTTCCGTTTAACTTCGCATTGCATTAGTTGAGCTGTCACCTCGACGCAGCAATTTATCTACTGATTACATTCCAGGTACCAGAACATCCTTTTTACATGCATGATCAGTGGATAATGGGAAATGGTGAATGGAGATTTCGTATTTAGACACCTAAATTGGCCCCAGGCCTACAGACCATGTACTTAAAATATGGAGTATCCCAGCTGGTACCAGTAGGGCCTACAGGGGCGGATTTAGTGGGGGGTCAGGGGGGTCTTGCCCCCCCCCCCCACCCCTTCGATTTCTGAAAAATATACCGCACCCATATCCCATACTAAAATACTACTTTATAATATTATTGAGGCTTCATATATAAGATCTTGAAAATTTCATTTTTAAAAGATAGACATAAACAAAAGCGACCCCAATTTTTTTTTAACATTGTTTTTCTTAGGCCTATATAGGCCTATCTCTTTATTTAGATGCCGTAGCCTACGTGTCACTTAGAATAGAGGAGAGGTAAGTCCAGTATTTCATATAGGCCTATGAAAGATTTATCATTTGTTTATGAAAAGCTTTCAGGTGTCCATGAGCCTTAACATAGGCTACTCAGTTTCCAAGACAACGATGAGCGGGAAGTCGTGCACCATATCCCAAAATCTCACTTTCTACGGCAACATAATATTAAAGCTGCCTTTATTCATTAATGTGATTATAATGAAGGTGCATTTAAGCCTATTTGTTGCCAGTCCGACGGAACTGAATCTTTTATGCCTTCAGGCATTTAATTACTAAAGGGCGTGACTTGACTAAATAGGCCTATATAGGGCCTGCTCGTAGGCTATTTGTTACCAAAATGTCTATGAAAGTCGTCAATTCTTCGTGGCTAAATTATTTATTTATTCATTTATTCGATCGTTTGTTTGTTTGTTTGTTTGTTTGTTGATTTGTTTGTTTGTTTGTTTGGTTTCCATCGTGTCAAATATGTTGTCATCTTCACAATATCACAACCTATACTCAGTATCTTTTCAAAACTATAATAAATAAACGTTCCGTAAACTTCGCCTCATTAAATCTCACCTCAAATTGTTTTACACCCGACTTTATATTGAGCTTGCGTCACCGATCGATCCAAGCTCAAAGCCATAAATGCTCAAGAGATTTGCAGGCACGTAACGTATAAATTGGCTGGCTGAAAGAATTTGTTTCTACCTGAGAAAGAATCTCCTTCACAGCTCTTTTTCGTCCTTTTGGTGTGTGCGCTTTAAGAACAGTTTTCTAAATATGTCACATCCTTTGTCTCTCTGTGTGAAAAGCACCGAAAAATCTTGAAAGATCACAGAAAAGAGGTTGGTGATCTAGAACGACTAAGTGTTGATTAAATAATATAGGAGAACAGAGGGGAATAGATTTTGAAGCGCATTTTCGTACCGCTGGATGGACTAGCATACACGTAAATGAGTATGTCAGCTCCAGGGGGACACACCGGTCAAGTGACCCTCCTTTTGCTTCAGAGTTACACCTCTCTCCCTCTTCCCCCTCCCCCCCCCCCCTTAAAAAATGAAAACGACTGAAATGAAACAAAATCAAACAATTTTGCACATTATACTGTAGTACAATTGCCCTCGTGTACTGGTACTCTTTTTTATATCTATTTGCCGAGCTAAGGGAGTCGAATCTTTTTTCCTTGCGACCCCCCCAACACACACACATACGCTTAAGGCAAAACCCGCCAGTGTCACTAATATGTACAGTAACAAAAAAATTTAACGGACACCAGTACTCCTCTCTGTAGACAAACTTGTCCTGGAATGAAGATCTAATCGAAAATGAAACTCAACTTTCTAGACACGCGTTGTGTGTTCAAGAGGCTCCACGTTCATGATAGCGCATTTTAAGACGAGGGCGTTAATATTATCCTTGACAATGTTCGCACAGATCGGACCAACAGTTATTGTGCTTAAACATAAGAGACCCGAGAAACATCGAACACAGAGCAAATTATTCACTGAGATCATTAGCCACTTTTATTCAATTATTTTTATTTGTTTTCTGGGCATTGTTGTTGACGCGCTCAAACAATCTCCCTGTGAGTACGCCGCACAATAACAAATATTGACTATTTGGTCGCGTCAGGATGAGCAAAAGTAATAGATTCAGGCATGCCAACTTGGGTATTTTTCTACGGGAAAGAAAGAGCTCGGTGGATTCCGGCGCTAAGGAGGAAGACCCAGAGTTGCAGAAGAAACATCAGGAAATTATCATGAATTTGTTGAAGGATTATGACCAAGAGGAGACGGAGAGAAGATACCGTAGTCACTCCCCATATGAATTTAAGATTGATCCACAGTCATTTAGTATAGACTGGTATGTATACCATGCTAAAGTATTTGTAAATGTATATCAACGGTTAGAGCAACAGTTTAACCGCCGATGGCGTTGAGAAAATATGTTTAATAGTAATACACGTACAGATTCCATGGCACGTTTAAACTGACGGAAAATGTTTGTTTAAAAAACACTGAAAAAAGGAAAAAAAGAGAGAAATGCTGTAATGGTTCATAGCTTGTGATGATAACGTACTAGGGAAAATGATTAAGTTGAAAAATTGTCTGCTTTGAAAAGTAAACTGAAAATATATAACTGCTACGTGGACACAATCTAACGAAGAGTGGACCAAACTCAAACTAATTAAATCCAATTAAGATAAAGTTGATCGGATTTGAGCAGGTTATCGATTACGGGTTGCTGTTTTGTTTATTAGTATGTTTATTTGTTTCTGGAAATGCTGGTTGCTTAGTAACAACATCAGCAGAGGGGTTGGCGTAAATACGTAAGTATTTGCTATACGTAGGTCCATGTTTGAGTTTTTTCCTGTTCAACTGTGCGTCTATATATCCTATGGACACCATTAAAGCATACCCCTAAATAAATTTAATACATTTTAGTAAGTCGAGTTATTTTATATTCTGCTAATACTTGTACATCAAATTTGTTATTTATTGTTTTTTCCTTTTAACAACATTTCTGTATTCTCCAGTAATATTACAGGTGTTGGAGCCGAGGGAAGTAAGGCTAAGAGGAAGGAAATGTTTTTTGCTCTTCTTACTTTTTCCCAACCACGTCAGTTGTAAGTGCAGAAAGCGGCAATGGCGAGGAGGATAGCCCCCCCTCCCCCTTTCCAGCAAATTAACTTCTTGAGCGCCTTTGAATACACATGGATTCACGTTTAATTTTCAGAAGCAACAGCAGACAAGTTGTAAAACCTACGCTGAGTAAATCCATACAATGACTTTTGGAAAATTCTTTTTTTGCAGTGAGGAACAAGCTCGCAAACATCAACGCCGTATGATCCAGCTGATGGGGAGTGACGTCTTGAGACTTAGGGACAGCGAATATACTGCGGAACTCACGCGGCGGCTAGACATTGAATATAAAGTAAGTATCCCAGGTGGGTTTTGGTGAGGGGTTGGATGGGGGTGAGGGTGAGGGTGAGGGGACAAGAAGGAGCTGCAATGAAGTTTGTTCTTCTTCCCCACTAACCCCGGTCCAGGATGGATTCACTTTTTTTTCTACGAGTTTTTTTTTTCCAAAGACATTAGTCAAAAGTGACGAGTGACGAGAAACAGGACCCGTAGTGGATCATGTAATCAGAGATTACCAAAATCGCCAAAGAGAAGGCGTCAACAAAATGAACAGCGGAAGGCAGATACGACAACATATGCAGGGATCATGCATCAAGTCAAGCCATGAACTTCAGAGAACGAGCACGCCTTAAGTTTGGGGGGGGGGGGAGGGGGCATATGCACATGTAGACATAAGTGATATCCATATAACGACGTTCAACGCAAGCAATTTTTCACATTTTACAACTATTTTAGACCAAATATATGCCTTCATACAACTCAAAAGATTTTGAATTTATGAATGAAAAAATTAAAATTGAAAAGCAAAAATTGGGCCTCGGTGCTTATATACATGTAGGTAAGCATTTGTGTTTTGCAAGATTATAATATACAGTACGGAGATGGATTGAGTACTGATTGAGTTATTAAGAATTTTGTAGTGTATCATTAACCCGTATTATATGACATCACAAAAACGTGCATATACCAATATTGAATGGACTCAAAAACCTGCGTGTCACAGGCAATATTCCCCATTCCTATGAAACGCTCAGTGACAAACCGGAGAAATAATACGAACAAAAGCCCCTTGGAAAATGGTTGATTATGTATCCGAAGATCACCTGCCGAATGATTGATTTGGCTGTTTGTAATCTTATCTTTATCGGCACACTAAAACGATGATCACATCAGTTGCCCCGGTAACCGATGAAATATCAATAAACTTCACGCGCGGCTGACATCGTTTATGGGTGGCGATAAAATACCACCCGACGTACAGGTAGATGTCGTAAAATACAGGTTAAGTGGGTCCATGTCGTGAATAGATGATCTTAGGCCGGAAAGCCATAAATCTAGCCAACATCTTCCGGCTTTTGCAAGCTGATCACGACAAAAGTTTTCAATTTATCTTCAGAATAAGCATATGTATGTATTCCTATTCGATTTGATCAATGGCAATGTGGGGGAAATCACTAGCAGGAATATTACCACAGGGATTCTTTTGTTATGATATATACCTGTATATACAACTGTCACTTAATTATGTCACTCAGTAAAACGAGATATTTGTTTAGTTCAATAACAAGAACCACATATGAAAACTCTCAGGTAAAGCAAAAATTATTTTCACTTATTTATTATTCTTATCTTCCCTGCTGTTTATTTGTTTATTTGTTGCGTGGATTAATTGATCGATTACATGTACACTGGATGCTATTGATTTTACAATTAAGCAATGTAGCAAGCACGGTAGGACGACAATTGCCAAATGTTTAAGAATGTCTACAAAATGTTTTCCATTGTCTCTCTACCATCCCTCTTTAAGATTTCAACACTTTGTAATTTTATTATGAAATTATATGTGTGTAATCGGTGCATCTTTAATGCACACGCCCTATTTCTCCCAATCAACAAAATGCTCTGTATAATGAGGAAAGGCCCACTCCAAAATGACGGCTTTCTTGCAGAAGGGCGGAACTTTCGATGGACCCTCATAAAAATTCATATTAATTTTTGCAGATACATAGCAAACTGCAATAGATAAACTACATTTAGAAGCAGCTGTAAACTAGCGATAAATTACTGGCCTCTGAGTAGGTCAACTATGAGACTGTAAATATTTAGGGAGGCAATATTAATGTGTTTCTATAGATAAGAGTTCGTTTCATGATGGTTTGAAGAAGACGTGCAGGTCTGTCCTTCAATAGTTGGGATTATGGCTGTATAATTTATAAAATAGTAGACCTGAATGAATCCTTCCCTTCTTTCACCCTTGTATCATAGCTGTAAGAATAACAGTTTTATTGTCGTTTTAGGAGAAATTAGCTCAAAAGGAACGTGATCTGGCGGAGGGTGAAAGGCAGCGACTGCGTCACCTCATGATGGAGGGGTTGATCGACAGTATCGACATCTATGACAAAGAAGAAAGAAGCAGAAAGAAACAGAGCCAGCAGTGCCCTTGGCGCGCTAGTTCTAAGTCCATAGATAAGAGTGATCATACACATCGAGTACGTTGAGTGGATCTGCGAATTTGCCTCTCGGTTTTTTGTTTTGTTTTGTCACTTCTGTATTAATGCAGCTTTTAAAGGGCGAAGAGCAAACCTGTTATAAAAGATTATGTGATGTTGGCCAATACTGTATGTTGAATGCTGATAACCATCAAAAATATAAAAAAAGAAGATTTGCTGTCTAATTATTGTAGACCTAATCGTAATCGACTACGAATAAAAGCCATTTTTATTCTACGTTTGTTTAAGGGGCATTCTCGGAGATCGGATAAGACCTCCACGACTTTAACTACCAATCCTGTAAGTATAGCTTTCGTTTTACGGGGCGCATCTACCCGTTTCAAAGAACTGGAATAACGGATTTTACGCGTCTTCTCTACAACAATCTTGATGCTTTCACCAGACGTGTATTTCACATACAGTGGCGATTCAATATGGTACAATGATTTATTGCTTTGTGCATCTTGACTCAGTGTGTTCTTGTACGTGTGTGTGTTAGTGTGTATGTGTGAGTTTGTGTGACACACACACACACACACACACACACACACACACACACAAAAGAATGCGTACATTTTGCTCTGTAGCTACATACCATAGCTACATAGTTTACATAGATAAAATAGAAGTTTCTGTGTCTCTTTCGTTATAAATTAGTATCTTTTGTAGGCGCGCACACCACAATCACCCAGGCATGTGCAAGTCCCGGAGACGCCGGAGACCATGGTCCAGTGGAATCGATTAAAAGAGGGTCAAACTGAGGTTAGCGGGTACCTTTTGTGAACGCCCATGCTCACCTTTTTTAAAAGGGGCATCTTACAAAGTTAGTGATTATGTGCCATACATGCATGTGGTCATTTTGAATTTTTGATCGATGTAAACAGTTTTTGAAGTAGTTCTTGAATAAATGAGATATACTATATTAGACTAAAAGTTAAAAGTTATCTTTATTTATTTTAGTTGCAGGAAAAAACCGAAGTGCGGAAAGAATTAATAAGTGACCACAATAGTGAGGTAAGACCAACATTTTGCTTAACGCTGTCTGCTTTTTAAAATTAACTCATGCGCTAGGTATGTAAGTACAGCGAAACTAGTGCAAATGTACAAATTATTCCATCGATCCCAGATGTGTCATTTAAGAATCTACATCTCCATGCGCGGAAGACGTCGAGATTAACGAAGGAGTCGGAAGCTTCAAAAGACGTTGAACGTGACAAAACCCAGGTAGGCTTAGAATCTAATCTACTGTTCTGTTATCGTCAAGGCAGGTTCTCCAATTGGAGAGGGGAGGAAGACGTGACAGCTTCAGCACTACTTGTACATCCCTTTACTTAAGCCCCCTTAACACTGGGCGGCGTCCTTTCTGCGTCCAGTATTAAGGCCCCGTTTGAGAATAAAAAAATATTACTTTATGTGCCGACAACTGACTGATCATTGAGCATTCATTCTGCAACCAAAGCGATGCTTGTGCATTCTTTCTACGACAACAGTTTTAATGGTCGCACAAAGGACGCAGAAACGACGCGACCAGTGTAAAAAGGAATAACCCGTAATGTATTCAAAATATCTTGCAAAATATACTAGAATTCATCATTGTAATTGTTTAATTGTTTCTTTCCTAGGATGACGACACATCTCATAAATCAGACACGCCAAATGATGTTGTTGATTTTGACGGCGAACCAACAGAAAAGGCTGTACAGAATGAAAATACGGAAAATGTAAGCGATCGTTGAAGCCGGCAATTAAAAACAAAGACGAGTCCAGGACGGTTTATGTATATCGGAAGGATTTCATCATGGAATTCCCCTCTTGCATCTTCGCAATAATCTACACTGCATCCTGAATTATTTAATGCAGTCTTATAATTCGACAGGTTCTTATCTAGTGAATTAGCTTCTCTTAAATCTATTAAACGATGTGTTTGAAAGCTGGTTCCCAAAATGTTAACTGAAACCGCATGAATATGACTGTGAACGTCTTATTTCATCTTTAGAACAAAACAATAGCTACTAGTAGTCTGTTAGACGAAAACTAGGAAACACTTGTGAATCTGTTGACAAAACGTGACGAGAGAGAGAAGGGGAAGGTAAAGCAATAAAATGAGTGGAATTTACGTTCCACTGTTTGGAACGTATGTTGTATCCTACACACTAGGCCCTATTTGTCTTTAGACGAAAGGACCAGATGGTACCTTATTGAAAATTTTTAATTATATTTCATTACGATGTTTATGCACGCGTAAGAATTCAGAATAAATCACATCTTTGTTTCACCATCATTTTCTCTTAAAAGCGTGTTAATACCTCTCCATACTACTTTGCGTCGTATTTAGACCCACATCATTTCAGTTGGAAAATGCCGTAACAAATAAAATTGATTAAAAATGCTACTTCCGTTGATGCATGAAAAAGAACGACATGAAGGAATTTCCTTTACATCGGCGCAATATTCTCGAAAATGACAAAGCTTAGCTTTATTGTGAAGTTCACCAATATATTTTGACGATTATAGATGGAACTGATATTTCACATGATATATTTTAAGTTGATTCCAACATCGATGGACAGTCAGAACTGTCTTTCAATTCTAGAGGGCGTTGAAAACGCATGTTACCCAACCAATAACTCAGACACTGTAACTCCTTCGCTGCACTTCCGGTTCCAAAAGGTCAATTTGCCAATTCCTAAAACTTCTTCGGATTTGCAACAAAGATATGCCTCAGAAGCATAGGTACTCAGTTCCTGGCCGCAATCGCTTCCGGGATTAAAGAAAACCACGACACGTTTACCCGGTGGGTCAATGTCATGGTTGTAAGTCTCGCACATAACTTGTCCCATGGTTTTATTAACGTTCTTACCGGCACTGTTTTCCACTAGGAGCTCGGTGTCGAACCCCAGGTTGTCGCCGATGATGATCTTAGACAGGCGTTCGCAGTCAGCGGGACAGTTTCGTAGAACCCTCAAGCATGTCAGCAAGTCGTCGGTGTCAACAATAGAGCGACGGCGCGTGTTGTAGAAGTCGGGGTACTTGTCAGTTATAACGTAAGCGGCACTTTCATTTCCGTATATGTCAGTGGCCCACAAGGTCTTGTGCCCGTAGATGAGGGTTGGGAGATCGAATAGAATAGAGCCTAAAGTTGTGCCCGTGGTCTCCGCTCTAAGTCTGCATTGGCATCTAGTTAAAAGGAAACATTAAATGTTTTTGGCAAATATACAGTATTATGCGGAGTGGTCATAGGTTTCTTACTAAAAATGAATAAATAAATAAAATTAAAATAGCTATTCGTTTCTAATTTCAGAATAGTTCGCCTTGTAGGGAAGTTGTTTAGATTAAATTTATACATTTTGGAAAATATAATATTTAGTCCCTATTTAGAACAAGTCGAAGTGCCACTTTTTGCAAATTGTGCAACTTCTTCTAGTATACTGTCGATATGAAAAGAAAAAAAGCATCCCAGGGCAATGGTTTCTGTGCAAATGCTATTGACAGCAGCCGTTTCTGTAGCCACTGCGGTGTCAAAGTTGGAAGTGGTTGTTGGTGATTGTGTGGCGCCAAAGCCAAGCAGATTCAAGGAGAGAGAGAATATGCGGCTGTAGTCTATAATAACAGGTATCAGATTGTGGGGTTAAAAATAAATAGCATACCTTTATTGCATGCAAACGTGGCGTGGTACCCCCAACAACTACGACGGTGGTACAACAGGTAAATGGCAACTGCACTACCTTACGTATACATTTATGGGTAGAAATAAATTTGAGTTGTGCGAAAAAGGGTGCTGTCATACAAATTTTGTAAAATATTAGTACAAACCTTCTTGTCTGAGTATTCATAGGCGTTTCATCTACAAAAAATAAAATGATTGTAAACTGGATAACATGTAAATGATTCAGCTACAATGGTCAAGGGACACAATAAAAATTATATCAAAAAAATAACATTTCTGCGGGATTCTTTATCATCACGGCCTTACCACACAGTCTCAGCAGGAAAATGTATCTGGTACAACGCAGATATAAGCTGTGTATTGGGATGCTCAGTAGATAAAGTAATATCATCCATATGGTTTACACGTTTTGTTTTGAATCACTTGAAAGATTTCAAGCATTTTACACAGTGCAGCCTTCTTTGTGGTCTTAAAAAAGGAGCAACATAGATACAGTCATACCTTTGCATACCACACCATCGCCCTCGAAACCCTTGTTACATACGCACTGGTATGAGCCAGGTGTGTTGATACATGTGGCGTTTTGAGAACAAGGGTTGCTTTTACATTCATCTGCATCTTGATCTGGAGGGTAAAGGTGACAGAAAAGAAAATATTACTATTATTTATTTAAAATAATCGCACAGATGCCCGCACTCATACACATACAATGTTTTATTTTGTACCAAAAAGATGAAATGCTGCTGAAGACATCTGACCGAAATTGACGTCGAAAGTGTGTATTAGGGACCGTTCACAATGAGTTTTGTAGACCTAGCTTTACCCACTATTTTCACAGGGACTCTCAATTAATGCAATCAGACTAACAGACTAACACGCCGCCTGGCGTTGAGTAGATGATATGGAAGCTGGTGATTATACGAGTATGTTGGTGTTTTAGTCTGTTTATCTGACTGCATTCAACGAGAGTTCCCATAAGGCTAGTGCGCATTAGCTAGGTCGACTCACTTTTGTGTACATGTAAACGGCCCCTAAGCTACCACCAAAAGGTAAGTTTTCTTACCACAGGTCAACTTGTCGTCGCCAAGTTCCCACCCAGGAGGACAAATGCAGATGGCACCATTATCGCTTTCATTACAATAATGGCTACAGCCGCCATTGTTGATGTTGCAAGTAGAAACTGCAATAAAAAGGTTTATGCTTCATCCTTGCTTGCCTACACAGCAGTGGAAGTTCAATGAATCTGCTCTTAACCTGAGTAGTTGTGAAATATTTTGCCTGGTTCCTTCTGACATATTCCACCTTAAATTGACAACCCCCATAATTTTCATTCACTTCAAACTAGCATATATAGGATAATTTTGCAATTTACAAAACACATAAAGAAAAGTAAAAATTTAACACCAGGCTTTCTTAACTGGCACCAAACACGGATAAATGTCATTATCATTTGCGTTACTCACTACATGTGTTGTTGTCTCGTCCTAAAATCAAACTTGCAGGGCATTTGCAGGTTACGTCACCTTGGCCATCGTCTGTACAAAAATGACTGCATCCACCATTGTTGTACAAGCATGGTGAAACTAAATAAAATCAAGATCCAAATTTTTGTAAAGCAGCATCTTCCCTAAGATCCCACAAAGACGTTTATGTTCTTCCAACGTGGATTTCAATTGTTTCTCATGTAGATCTTTCGCACAAAATCAGAGATCAGGGGCGGATCCAGGATTATTTGAAGGGGGGTCCGCCGATGCGAAGCAGACACCCCCAACCCCTTGGCGTCGGTTTCGGGGCCCTTCATATGGTTTTATAGTGGGCGTTTAGAACTATGATTCAGCTAGTTAAAATTTAATGTAAGAGGGGTCCATTGGCTTTTCCGAAATTGAAGGACCCCCCCCCCCCGACCCCCCCCCCCTAAATCCGCCACTGGAGATAAACTGTACTTTGGTCTTCCGTACTTTGTAACGGCTTGGTCTTGATCTTTGATACTTTTTTAAAGCATTACAACGTAACCTCAAGGGGATTGCTTGAATTTGTCAAAGACAAAATGTTTGTCCTGCAACAGTTGTAAGTTGGTCTACGAGCCTTTATCACCTTGTAATTCAAGAGTCTCTGGAAACTAACCTGTGTTACCTTTTGTCTGTTTCTGAAAAGCACAGAGGCATGCTGATAGTGACGTGAGTTTCCAGTGACCTGTAGAACTCAGGGTGGCAATTGAATGATTATGATGATTGCAAAGCAACCGCTTTTTACGGAGCCCCGCAGGGGTCACTCAAATTTGTTTTATCTCGAGCGCTCAACTTACTATCTCGAGCGCCCGACTTACTAGGGAGGTTTCACTCTCCCGGCCCGAGAACTAGCCCGCCGAGAACAATTCTCGTTCCCGATCCCGGGGCCTACCTGGCCATACAGGGTTTCGCATTCTCGACCCGAGAAATCTGGCAGAATTATTCAGATTTATGCAAAATTTTTGGTCACGCGCCACCTATTATTTAAAAAATAACTTAAACCCCTAGGCTGTGCTGCTTTTGAGTGGTATATTTTTGGTCTTTATCTGTTTTTGCTAATAGGGATGAATAGGAAAATGCTAAAAAGCCTACCCTTATTTGCCATTCTTTCCAAGGCCCGTTTTCTAATCACTTCCACCTGTTTTACAAGTTCACGGTCTTTGTCTTTACTGAGTCCCAAAGATTGGCCTTTCTCGATCAGCGCTCCGACATCCAGCGCAAGGTTCTCGGAATCCGTCAACGAGAATGCGAAAACAAGCGCAAAAAGTGATGACGTTATACGCAATTTCTTCAAATTATCAGCGCGCCGGGATAGCGAAACCTCCCTCTTATCTCGAGCGCCCGGCTTACTCTATCTCGAGCGCCCGACTTACTAACTCGGGTAAGTTAGTAAGTGGGGCGCTCGAGATAGTAAGTCGAGCGCTCGAGATAGTAAATCGAGTGCTCGAGATAAAAAAAGAGGGCCCCTGAGGGGCTACGTAGTTTTTCATTGTAGGTACTAAACGCTTTCCACTTGGATGATTCGATTTTGTTGGAGGTTATATGAAATGCAGTGGCCTCAAACTTACCACAAGTTGCTCCATCTACAGCCAGTACAAGATGATGTGGACAACTGCATGAGGCACCGTTAGCGTTACTCTCATTGCTCCTACATATGTGACTGCAACCGCCATTGTTGATTTCACACGCCGATACTGAAATAAAACACTATGTTTCACGAGTTTTTCTCTTACGGCATCTTTAGGCCCATACAGTACATGTATATGGATAATCTTAGTGCTCACTACAGACAGAAGAGCTGTTTGTGTGTATATTTGACATATATTGCAACAGAATATTACACAACTGAACACATAAATACAGAGGATTCACATTCAGGCATTTTACAGAACTTACAGCACGTTCTTCCATCAGTTGCCAAACTCAGACCAGTCGGACATGTGCATTGTGCTACGCCGTCTTGATTCTCACAGCCACCAGTACACGTGCTGTTCATGCAGGGATCGCTTGTGTCTGTGGCTGGAAGGGTGGAATATAAGAAATATTGGTGCCCAAATATTATACAAAATATCAAAGTGGAATCATTGTGTTTAAAATACTACATAAAATGTCAACGTGGATAATTAGTGCCGTGTCACGTGACAGAGAGTCCCCCGTGCTAGAGAGACCGCTTCCCATCCATTTGTACAGGTGAGCCTCGCCCTAGATTTTGACCCACCTAGGCCAAAATAAAGCTAACCATTATAATAATATGAAGGGCGAACTTTCTGTTACACGGACCCTAAGTTTCGATACACCGGCAATACTATTTGAATTATCAAATCTGATACATGGTACTGATAATACTACATGCAACACTCCTTTGGAGTTCTGACCATGAATTCAGTCACTGATGGCATAAACGCCATTGTCCATTCTGACTACCAATATTCAATTGACTGAAAACCTACCACCACAGAAGACTCGATTGTACCAAAACTGGAGATACGGAAGTTTGTACACAAAATATCCTCCAGGACATTTTTTCACCTTTGCAACATCAAAGGTAAAGTAGTTGTCAGATGGGCAGCAATACCGGCTCTCTGTGGAGCTAGATGAACTTTTTCTGGTACAAATCTTGCGCTCCACAATGCCATCTATTATGTTCGGATGACCGCCAGTCAGCCACATGGGGTAATTTCCACCACAATGATTATATGTTGGACACTAAGGGACAAACAGATAAATAATGACATTTTGCCACATATCCCACGTACTTGTAGTAGTAAATGAATTAAGAAATAGCATATTTCTGAGAGCTTTTCTAGTTATTAATATGTAAACAAAGATGCAAGATATGTTGTTACTTATTTGAACTAATTTTGAAGCAATTCCCACGACTGACTCTCGGTTTGAAAATTAACTAGAAAAGCACTCCGAGAGCGCAGACCTCCGCCAAGGTAGCGATTTTTGATTATTATTGATTATTGATCCGGATCACCTCTTCACTCTCTTTCATGGCCCACTTCTGACAGTTTCTGAAAATTTCATCACAATTGGGTCCATAACTTTTGGAGTTATTTTGATGACAAACAAACAAACAAACAGACAGACAAACAGGGGTGAAAACATAACCTCCTTGGCGGAGGTTATTAATGAGAAGATGAGAACAGACATACTGTTATCATGATTGGGCGTTTGTTCCCAGTGGATTTGTCGATAGCAACCTCGACAAAATAAGTATATGAACAACGAAAATCAAGGACAACAGTACCTGCAGTATTTTAAAAGATATTTGTGTAACTAGCGGGAAATCTGTAAATCTGTTGAAGGGGATGGGAAATTGCTTGCATTTGTCCCATTTCCCGTTATGCTGTTTTGCAGGAAGGAGAAGAGGGTACCTTATCGAAACGTGATAGCTCCAACCCTAAGCGAAGAAAAATATGCCTTTGCTTTTATTACATACGGTGTCTGCCATCTTATTTCCAGCTTGTCCTTGAAATCTGTACCAGCCTTCCCAGCTGACGAATTCATCACGGTATTTCTGATCAGCTGAGTATCGAACGTTTCGCCATTCCTGGTCAAGCACTCTGTATTTCAAGCAGGGATCCACTGGAAAGTGTATTCAAGTAAAGAACACTACTTATTAAATGCTTTTTTAAATACAGTAGTTAGAAGCAGTATTCAAAACACGTACATGTAGCTGACATTGCGCTTTCAAATGACACCATGCACTTGAAAATAATTTAATTACATTACAACACTATTCAAGTACAGTGTCCTCTATAGCCGCTTCTTTTTAGACATTAAAAATGAGATTAGAACGACATACCGCATGTTTTCCCATCTGATGACAACTCCATACCGTTAGGACAGGAACATACTCTGCTGCCGGTTTCTGTCTTATTACAGATATGGCTGCATCCACCGTTTTCGTGTGAACATGGGTTAACTGCAAAACAAATATACTATATATAGTAGTACAGGAAACAGTCACAGTTTTTTTACTTCAGTATATAATTTTTAGTTTTGAAAGCTCCCTATTGTTGTAGAGTTAGCTTAATAAACTCTTCAGTATATACTTGTGTATGGTGTCTGTTTTTATTTGTAATGAAATTAGCAGAAAAATAAATGACCATTCACAACACACGTTCTCTTCGTGTGATTCGTTGTTACCACATACGAGGCAAGAGAAATTTTTTCTCAAATTTCTGGTGATAAGCCAGGACAATGGCACGTTTGCCGGTTAAAGTTCAGAACAAGCTGGATATCAGGATATGTGAGAAAACTAGCAATAGATAACCTTCAGCTGGAACGAAATTCAGAGTAAATGTCACTGTAAGAAACAAGTTGTCTCTACCTGGTATCGTATATGATTCTACGTAAACCCATGTAACTGTACTAACATGTAACTCTACTAGCCAAATACTAGAATTCACATGTACCACAGATATCTCTTGCGTCAGATTTTAAAACATCATTCGGACATGTGCACTGTGCTTGTCCATACTTAGTAACGCAGCCATGTGTGCAATTGGCATCAAGGCAGGGGTCACGTGTGTCTTTAACTGAAATTTTTCCAAGACAAAAGCACTTTAAGTATTTATTAGATTTAAATAAAGCTTGAAGTTGGAGTTAAGGGAATTTTCAGAATTAATAAAAAAAGAATCACCCGTCATTTGAAATACTGACAATAACAATGAGGACTACTTATGTTTAACTTTAAAACATTGCTATTACTACTCTTAAGATTAATCATAAATACCTCCACAGAAAACTCTGTTACATGTGCTTTGTAGAGTGGGAAAGCTGTAAATAAAGTAGCCCCCGGGACATTTCCTCACTTGAACGTATTCTGTATCAACCAATTCACTGTAATAGTTACTTGAAGCACAGCAGTCTGTATATGGATACTTGTTATAATTGCTATGATAAGTGCACAATTGCCTTTTTACAACACCGTCCCTTTCCTGTGGGTGACCTCCTTTAATGAACGTTGGCTTGTCACCACCGCAGTTATTTGATGCGCACTAGAAATACAAATGAACTACATATTCTAATTTCAATGTCATTTAAACCCCGATTAAAACACTTATAAGTGGTACATCTAGTTATTATTTCCTGATAAGACCTGAAACAAGTCTGGATGTTTCTTTCAGAGGGTTGATTGAATAACGTTTTTATATAAATAGTGTTTGGTAAATTTGAAGAAGTGTATTTTGTGTTCTTGATCTCCCATTATATTTCTTTCTTTCGTGGGCAAAGATACATGTATTTCATCCATACGTTAAAATAATGTGTTCTGAAACAGGTAATTTTCACTCATTTAAATTTCTCTTATTAGCATGTAAGCAAGAATTGGTTATTTGCCATCAACCAGCCACGCAACATCCTTGTTCTTTTGGTGTCACAGAGCGAGTGGGGAAGAAGAAAGTGGGCGGTGGTTCAAAGGGATTTGGGAAAGAAGGTGATGGAACAGAGGGATTTGGGAAAGTAGGTGATGGTACGGAGGGGTTGAGGAAAGTAGGTGGTGGCACAGAGGGGTTTGGGAAATAAGTCTCGGTGGCACAGAGGGGTTTGGAAAAGTAGGCAGTGGTACAGAGGGGATAGGGGAAGTAGGTGGTGGTACAGAGGGGTTTGGGAAAGTAGGTGGCAGTACAGAGGGGTTTGGGAGAGTAGACGGTGGTACAGAGGAGAGTGGGAATGAGGCCGGTGGGTTTGGGAAAACAGGCGGTGGCAAGGAGGGGTTTAGGAAAGAAGCCGGTGGCAGAGATGAGCTCACGAACGAAAACAACTAGAAATATAATATTCTATATTACCACAAAAACGGCAGCTACATGTATAGCAATTAATCTAAAATCTTTGCTTGCCTTCTGACCACGTGACCTCCATAGATGGCTATACTCTGTAATTATCTCTTAAGAGATCTCTTAAGAGATTATTTAAAAAAAATCAAACTTTCAAGAGAAAAAACAGGGATTAAATTTGAACGTAGAAATGGATTCATTAACCATTGGTAAGTATGGGAAAATTGTCGTTTACCCCAGGAAATTTTTTTTTTGGCTAAAATGAAAAGTTGTTATCCCTTTAAGCGAATTAATTTTTCAAATGTTGTTTTATACATTTTCATGCAATATTATTTTTTCGTTCAATGTTCATAACAACGGATTTGTGGGTAGTCTTAAAAACGAAGGAATTCATTGGCTAATCTCAGAAGTAGAATGGGACTGAAGTATCATCATGCTTACCGAAAATTACCCAGCAAACACGACACGTTGTTATCCCTTTAAGCGAATTAATTTTTCAAATGTTGTTTTATACATTTTCATGCAATATTATTTTTTCGTTCAATGTTCATAACAACGGATTTGTGGGTAGTCTTAAAAACGAAGGAGTTCATTGGCTAATCTCAGAAGTAGAATGGGACTGAAGTATCATCATGCTTACCGAAAATTACCCAGCAAACACGACACGTTCGGATCACGTGGCTAGCACGTTGCTACCACATTATAACGTCATAGCAACGTGTTAGCCACGTGATCCGAACATGACGTGTTTTCTGGGTAGGAACACCGCTCCCTCTAAGATAATCTCTTGCGCAATTAATTTTAGTATTTTAGCCAAGCTCTGCAGTCTTCTGTCGTTGGCTTCTCAATCGTGTACGTGTGAATAATATGTATACTCAAGATGATTCATGTAAATTCACTGTATAGATCTTTAAAAGGTCATTTGAGAGGCCACGGTCACCATTTGAGAGAAAAACTTAAGTGAAAAGAATTTTAATTTGTTCTAATGGTTCAAGTTAAAAGAAAAAGAGGTAAACGCATAAAAACATCTCCGGACGTTGAGTGACTTTTTTTATTAATATGGGAATCAAGGTAGACTATTGATGGAAATGTTCTTGATTTTCTTGATAGTATACGAAAACAACACCTACGTCGTCCGCCATTTTGTTCCCTGCCTTTCCCATAAACCTGTACCAGCCATGCCATACACGGTTTACATCGCAGAAGTGAAGCGATCCGTAGTTTCTGTTGCGCCATTCCTCATCCAGTATGTTATAGTTTTCACATGGGTCATCTGAAAACGTTATCAAACTTTATTGTGATTTGTGTTCCTTTCCAATAACATAACATGGCTTTATTCGTTTTTCTATTTTGTTATTTGTTTTTAATTATTTTACAGACACTATAAAATGATGTATTATATATACACAAAGGCATTTGCAACGGGGTTGACTGGTAGCAAATAATAGCCTCGAAACAAGAGCTGATATCGCTTTTAGCGCTCGGCCGCTAATTGCCATGCCTTCGCTTTAGGCAACAGCACCGGATTGCCATATTTGCGAACGGTGGCAATTTGCGATGCATTCGAGTTATCGAGCCGTTGCTTCTTTTATTCATCCGTACGCGGTAGTTGCAGAGTAAAAAACGGGCGTTTGATGTCTTTCTTATATGGAAAGAATTAATTATTGGTGTCAGTAAAATAAACGAAAGTTAAACATGGTTTTCAACATATTTGTTTTGCACTATAACTTTAGTTTTGAAATAAAGATCCTAAACACAAACAGTCTATGAGTATACTCATTTCCTTTTCGTCGCAAAAGAGGATCCATGTCTTAATTATAAAATGATTTACTTTTTAAACTAATTGGTTTATCTGTCACTCTGGAGATTTATCAACTCCCCTCTCCTTATGTCTCCATTAAATGTGAATTACCCTATTGGCAAATGTCCCACTTGCAAATATGCAACAAAGGCTGATTTAAATGTCAAAGATTTATAATCTTACATAATTTAACACATCTAGGACAACTTACCACTTGGTAATGAATATGCAGAAGCCAAAATGGCTACCATGCAGACGGATACATGCATGTTAATTCTTGCCTCTTTTAAACAGATGTGTCTTTTGGAACAAACGCACCTGCTTAAGTGTTTTTCTCCTGGCTCAACGTATTTGTAAATATAAAAGTAGACCAATGGTAGCGTATTGCTGTATCAGTTGGACGTGATGCAAGATAAATGTTATCTCAACGTGGAGTCGGCCTAGTTGGTCTCAGTCCATTTTTTCACAACATAGTAACCCATTCTGTATTAGCAAGAGCGGCAATGGTCGTTGTCTGGAGGATCCTGGTTTTAGTTATTCTATATTCCGGTTCATATGCCCAAATCGGTGAGTCAAAGACATGTTATACCTTTCAGCACTTTTAATATGTATAAATTGTTCATAATTAAGAATGCTTGCACCTGTTAAATGTTGGCAATATACTGTATATATAAGTGTTGCAGACCCAACTCAATTCAGGCAGATCCTAATTCCGCCTAGGTCCAGTTCCAATGCATTTCATCGCAACATATAGAAATATGCTTTTACAAATAAATGCTGTATATTTTAAGTACCACGGTAGGCCTGTTTTCTAAAAAATAAGGTTAAATACATTTTGAAAAAAGTGCTAGATTGCTTTACAGTTTTAACAGTTTTAACTTAAAAGTTAGCACCAATTTTATTTACCAGCTTCCTTTGATCAAGATGTATAGCAATCACAACTTCCATTCACATGGTACTCAAACAAGGTGGCTTAATTCTTGCCTGTAAAATAACCTATTGTCTTATGCTGATAACAAAGGATTTTACACAATTGAGATTGGGCCTAGCCGAGTTTGGAATCAGCCTGAATATGAAATGGGTCTGCGACTTGTATCCACATGTACTTTAATATTCTTATTGAAAAATCCCATTTCAGAGGACCCATGCAAGGACTACATAGAATTGTCAGAACCATGGCGAAAAATGTCATATTCCGGTACACATTATCATTGTGATGAATATGCTCGGTGGACTGGGTGGTTCCGCATAACGGGGGAGGCTGGTAACAAAGTTGCCGATAAGGTAATACATGCTTTGTGTCATATAATAGTGTGTAACTTCTTAATAGATTTTCCATTTTATAAAATTCATGGTTAAAAGAAAATGTCATGGTACATATATTCGTGCCACGGTGTATGCTTCATTCTCTTTTTTTACATATATACTTTGTACTTACTATCTTGCTTTCAAGTCGTAAGATGATCAACCGTTTAAAGCGAATTCAAACATTTACATATGCACAAAATAAAAAAACGATACATGTATGGGGCGTCTTTCTATAGGTCTCTTTCTTTCTGCATATCCCAACTCATTTCCATTAGTTTAGTTTGGGTTACATTTTTATCTACTACATTTTCCCTGCGTTTTTGCAATTTCATTTTATTTATTTATAATTGTAACACGTGCTGCGCTTTTATACACACATATCAAAGCACCTTATTTAGTTTGCATAATAAATGTTTTAAACAGCCAACCTGCCTTTACTTTTCTATCGTTTCATCTCCTGTAAGTACACATTGACCAAGGATATTATAAAGCATAAGATAACCCTTTTGGTTATATTATATGTAATAGGCTTAATAGGTATGAAATAGTTCCAGGTTCTTATATTTTCGTTTAGTGCATTTCATCGCAACATATGGTTTTTATATTTTCGTTTAGTGCCCGAAATATCAATACTGTGGTACGAAATATCCCTTGTGGATCTACGGCCGTCATCCCAAAGAAGAAGATGGTATTGTGAGAAGACCACTTTGCTCTCGTATGTCCTCTAGTAGATGCTGCGACACTCCAACTGAAAATTCAAACGTTAAAAACGACTTTATTCTTATCAAGAAATGCCCCGGTGGGTACTATGTGTACCAAGCATCGCAACTTCGAAACGCATATTGTTACAGATCGTTTTGTGCAGGTATGGATGTATGTTGGTGAGAAAGAAAGAGAAATGACAATTTTTCATTATCTCGATTATTCAAGTAATGAACGAGGGATATTTCTTATTTATAATCCCTGTGCATATAGTCCTAAGTAAGGTTAAAAAATCAATTACGGATAAAAGTATAGCGTCAATGCATTTCTCATATTTCCCTAGAAATCAAACCATTTCAATGCTGTACACCCTAATTTAATTATCAGTACAAACTTGCTTTGACCATTCGAAATTGCTGGTTTGCGGCCTATCTATTATGCATATACGTATGACAACATTTGATGCTGAAGGGTTGCACTGGACATTGTAGTATCATTAATTTTAATTGGAGGATCCAGGTTTCGTGTAAGGGGGTTTGGAGGCACTTAAAGATGTATTTTTGCGTAACTTTCCAACTACTAGACGAAGACAACGTTTTACTATAGTATGTAGGGCACAGGGGTGCAGGTATGACTTGTTTCGTATGTAATACCGATTTGTGGGTGAAAAGGGGAGTAGGCGGTACATGCGAAGCTAGGGGAAGGGTCACATGTTCTATTGTACCCCCGGATGCACCATTGATTTACTAATATGCTTGCAGACACCGACAGTAGCGACCCCTGTCTGAGCAGTAACTGCACCGATGGCTGCACGAATAACAACGGAAATTTTGAATGTGTCTGCCCTAAAGACAAGGTACTAAATGGAAGTGACTGTGGTAAGATATTCAGAAAAACACATACCATCATATGTGAATATATATTATATGTCAGTACAATATTATGCAAAAGCTATAACAACCCTGCAGTAAGGAGCATAACACTTTAAAAATTAAAGCATTTTAACCTTAACACCTTCTGTATATCAATTTTGCTCTTTCAGTTACACCATGCTCCATGAAAAACGGAGGTTGTAGCCATAAGTGCTCAAATACTAATGGGAAAGTATATTGCTCGTGTCCGGCATACCTCATGATGGGGAATGATGGCAAGACTTGCGGTACGCTCGAACAATCATTTT